ATTTTCTTCTTTAGATGCTATTAACTTTGATTTACTGAAATTTTATAAAGCCTAAGGCAGACAATAAGTTAATATGAGCCTGAACATTATCACTACAAGAATCTATAGACGATCTTAAAAGCAAAAAGTCGTTCAAATAAATGATGGATTCATAACCTTCTTCTCGAAGAAAAGAAGTGACTGAACGCAGAATTTTGGTAAAAATAAATGGTGCAGTGGAGAGACCGAAGGGAAATACTGCAAACTCGTAGATTAACACGCGCCTGGAATCTAAGAAACTTCCTGTGAGAGATGTGTATTGGAACTAGTAAATACGTATCTTCGATGTCTAATATGTGTCTTCGCGAATTTCCCGCTTTCCGCGCCGAAGGTGTGCCGTCGGCCACTTACATCGGCCCTATTTCTCGGATCATTATCTATCCGACTGTATAAAATAATAAACGGTTACAATGTATATCGTTGAAAATGACATTTAAAATTCATAAAGAAGAAATTTATGAGCAATAATAAATTTGGAATGCAAAATTAATTCATTTTTATACTATTCATAAAATATTGCAGAATATTTCTTATTTTCGAATTTTATTTATCCGAATATTTATCTGTCCGATTTCTTCAATTAATTCAATATCTAAATTCCTTGTGTTGGGATCGTATCAGAATAGTTAAACTCATCAAAATAATTATAACATATTTAACTGTAATAGCCGCTTTTGCATGCGCTTTATAATTCTCATAACTATATTTAAATAATATATAGACAGCGCATCTTGCGTCGCATAGCGGCAAATGAATAAGAAACTATAACAATATAATATGGAGTATATTTTGCAATGTCTCCAATAAAATATTAAATTCATAATATTTGCACAATGTTGCTTCAATATTTATAATGACACAATGAAATGAAATATTTATGCAATATTTTAGCAATATTCGTGCTGTAAGAGAATTACTATATAATTTGAATAGAATACAAATATAATTTGGTGGACATCCCGTGGACGTCCAAATATTAATCACTGATGGATGTCCGAAATCGGATATAAAGTGGACGTTCATTTCATGTCCATGGATGTGCAGAGGTAAAATGGATATAAAATGAACGTGCAATATAGTACATCTTATATATAATGACAATCAAAAGAAAAAATGAAAAAAGGATTTACAGATATATATATTCTTATATGTTTACTAATATGGCTATATTTAAATTTGTTTAATATATGTATATTTAACTCAAAAAAACGGTATTTTACTTATTTCTTAAAAACAATATTTATTTATTTTACTCGTTTTTTTAACAAATAGAGTAAAAGCAAAATTCGAAATGAGCAAAATTATTATTGAAACTCATTACTAATATTTAATATTTATAAATATAAAGAAAATTTTATTTAATATCAATAACAGTTACGCAATTATAGTTTTTGTCATTTATGCTGACGAGTTTATGTCATAAATTAAATACTTTTTATGTGCATGTATACTAAAACGCGAAACAATTTCCTAAAATAAAATTAATTAAGCAATTTTTTGACAATTATAGTAGTAGTTGAGTCTACACTGTTTGAATCTAACTTTCAAGACTTGCCACATAGTAGTCACTAAATTCGAAACAGCTCAAGTAGAACAGAAAATCAAAATCATAATATCATTTTGACGTCATATGATCAAATTTGGAGTTCAAATTTAGTTAAGATGACGTCAAATTGACATTATTTTTCTGTTCTACTTGGGATATACTTTCATTTGACTACAATATATATAATAATAACACAGAACAGTATTTTTGCGAAGCGGTATGTATTTAGATTATTATATCTATTCGATAAGTCGACTGCTGAAACGTGATTTTAAAGAAACTTTAAACTCACCAATTTTATTCCTCTTTTCACGACCCATTTCAGTTTTTTGAAACCACTCTTTTACCTAACTTTTCTTTACCCTAAACTAAAGACAATTATTTTATCAGAATCATAACATGCATATACATATATATAAGCGATTACACATACACACTCACGCACACATATACACACGCCTATACACGCACACGCGCCCACGCATATATGCGCGCGCGCACACAAACTCACATAAAGATAACACATCAAAACATATTGTTTAATATTAATATGAAATAAAAATTTATTGAAAAATTAATTAAAGTAATTATAGATAAATTGCAAACAATATATGATCATGGAAATAATATAATAAATAACGTGCTTTAAATAATCGATCTAAATAGAGATGCCAGAAAAATATATACATACATATATATTAGGAATATAAGAATATTCAATAAATAACTTGATTAAGAAATAAACATAATTTATTCACATGTAAGTAAGAATGCAATCTACATCCATAATGTATAACTATACATATATACTATATAAGTCCGCACAATAGTAGAAGTAACAGATATTAGAAACATATCTCAAGAGGTATTACTTATTGAATTCATTTAAAGATCTGACAGTACAATATCTGCTATATCTGACCATAAAACAAGGAAATATGGAGGAGATTAATATAATAGGATACGAAGAATGTTTCTATATAATCTAAATCATCTAAAAGACATCATTTTATCTTTAAACAATTTTAAGATCTAATAAATATATATACATTCTGTAATCCTTTTTTCCATATTACATTAAAAAGAAATATAAAGTATATATATTATATAATATAACTCTGTATATATAGACACAAAAATCTCATTATTTAAAGACATGAGTTAAATCTCCATAATAACATACAACGCAATGTTCAGGTGTCATGTACCTATATACATTAAAAATAACACAACTTGTTTAAAATTTATATAATCAACTATCATATTATATATTAACAATGAATAAGTGGACATCAACATTTTGAAACTCGTCCATTAGAATATCTAAAATTTCAAAAAATTTGACCTATATTACGACATAGTCAATTGATCCCTATTAATTATCGTGTTTTTGTTAATTATATTGATAATATCGTGATATCGCAATCATAATAAGTCTTTATAAACAACAGAATAAATGATATCATGCTTATTGGCAGGTACAAATTTTAATTTGCACATACATTTTTTGGCCGCAAATTGACATTAACAATGTCATTACACATAAATCATATTATATAAATTTCAGTAATTTTTATAGAATTGAAAGTTTTTGAGCGCGTTATTGCAAAATTAAATTATTCACTTTTGCTAAGATATATATATATATATATATATATATATATATATATATATGTTTTGAACAATTTGTGTGTGTGTTTGTGTATTTTATTAAACCTATTTACATATACGAAGTAAGAAATAATCGATTATGTGTATAATCACAAAGAATGCGATACCGAGAATTATTTTCAAATAAACAAAGATATACATAATATCCATACACATACACATGTATATATATTAAAATATAAATATAATACAGAAAGTTTGTACATAGTTTTACAAATGTATTTATAAACATATTTTTAATTATATATTTTATTTTAAAAAATCTTTATAATTTACGAAAACAAAATTCGTATAAACACAACCATATGGCTTTAATAACATAAAATAGAAATATATATAAAGTTCGTAACTGTTGTAAAGTGTTGATACTATAATTTATTTAATGTATCTTTTATTTAATATATCCACACATGGATATATATAAATATTATAATAATATAGCTAAAACATAATGGATTGATCCCATAAAAAAAGAATATTCTAAAACACATTAGAATATTACTTTATGACATTTTAAAATTTCCAACAAGTGGAAATTTTAAATATAATTTGTTTTTTATATTAATCTCTTTTATATGGATACGCTTAATTCTTCTATTTGTGTAACAATTTATACATTGGTAAACAATGCAATTTACGATACATACAGATTCCTTTATGGCTAACTGATAAACTGGGTTGAGAGCTTATATGATAGAAAGGAGAATGATAATGTTTAATGCCCTAGGTGTATTTTACTTTCATTAAAATTAGGAACAAAACCGTAAAAATGCCTCGGGTTATCCACTCGATACATTTTCGTGTCTTTAAATGCGTGTTTAGAACACATGATGATCGCTACATACATATTATATCTTGGAGTATCAAACTGAGATTCGTCCGGAATAAGACGCAAACTGCAAAAGATGTGCCTTAAGTTTACGTAGATATATTATGTAAAACTGCAGAGGCAGAATTCAAAGTCCCAGTCGCTGCTTTTGCTTTCGTTGCTCCGTCATCTTTTAAAACAAAATAAAACAAAAAATATATGATATATATATATATATATATATATATATATATATTGTATATAAATTATAGAAAAATATATAAATATATAAATATTATATAAAAATATATATGTATAATTAAATTTGTATTTGAATATTGCTTAAATAATTTTTTGTTAATGTAAGAAATAAAATTTAAAGAATATTTTCACAATTGACGTACCTGATCACGAAGCTCCATCAGTTGTTGCGACAAACATTTAACTAACTGCTGCGTAGATTCTAATTGCGATTGTAAACTTCTCAATTCCACTTGCTCACCTTCACCTTCGTCCGCTGCCAGTGATTTGGCCCGCAATCTCGGGAACCATTCCAGATTTCGATCCTGTGAAAGTACATAGAGCTTAAAGACATAAGCATCGCCCAAATTTTCAAGCTCTATGAACTATTACCTTAACCATAGAGTAAACGTATGATTCCGGCCCTGTAAATTCTGTCGGATCCTTCACCTTCACTAACACAATGAAGTAGAGATAATGCCACATATTATGCTCATGCTTTATGTGTTCCTCAAAGGAAACTGTTTTGTTATCGAAAGCCGATCTATTCAAACCTATAAAAAAATAGAGAATATTTAAATACCTGTAAGATATATCCTATATGATATGCGAAAAAAATAAAAGTATAAAAAATGCAAAACAAATAATATAATATAATAAAATAGATACTTGCCGCAAATGAAACAAGTATTTTTCAAAATCAATTCCTTCTGCTGCTTCTCTGATCTAAGATCCGCAAATGTATCGATAATCACACCAAAGATGAGATTCAAAACGATAATTATTACAATGAAGAAGAATAGCAAATCATAGACAACTCTTGCAACAATAAAGGTTCCTAAAAGATAATAAATTATTGCATATAAAATAAATATATATTTCATTATATTTTGCAATAATCCCGTATACTTACAACGCTGGATGGTGCTCGTAAAATATCCCCGATACCACCACCATTCCTCAATCCTTGATTTAACGTGGTGACTATACACATAATGAGTGAATCACAAGTACGTTCCTTTAATTCTCCGCCGACGCTTATCACTTCAGCTTTACTTTCTTGTTCATTTGCTGAATTATTAGAAGAATTATTTCACAATAAATATTATTTTTACATATTCAAAGAAAAAAGTATATCAATTGCGATATATCTACCTTCACGAGCATATTGTGATATAGTTTCTGTTACTTCGCACTTTTCCTTGTCACCAATGCTACAAGTATCTGCAACTTTCTGTTCAATGGAAGCTATAAATCGAATAAATATTGTTATTATATTTATTAAAATTAAGAAAAGATTTATATAAATTTATGTATCATACCAAAGGATTAAACTTACATATAATTTCCTCATCCACAGGAACGAGGAAATCGTCTTTAAAGAACATAAAACCATGATGGAAAACATGTACACTAAAATCAAAGCTAAGACAGCAGTGAGTATGATAGATCTTCCATTTCGAGTTACAGATTTTATTACATTGAGCAAAGTCTCCTCGCGGTAAACCACATCAAAGAGCTAAAAGAAAACGACAATGTTACAATTTGAAAAAGAGTAAAAAAAAACAATTCATTAAATTTTTTGTCACTTACTAAAACTGAATAGAAAAATGGATGCATAAAAATCCCCAGAACGCAGAATATTAAATACAATATGTGATATAAAAATTCGATATTAGTTATTATTTGCTCTACACTTTAGTCAGGTACCCTGATTACCCCATAATACTTATAAGATGTACACTTTTTAATGTAATCTGCAATACAAGTAATACATATTTAAAAATAGATATTTAAAATCACTATATATATATACAATATAAGCTTTATTATATTTACCGTAACAAAACCGGCAACCATAACGTTGGTTCTGGACCTACAGAGAAAATCAATCGCAATATCGTTGATGCAACTAACGTACGTATACCGGATTCCCTTGGTAAAGTAATAACGATAGCACAGATGCAAGCCTAACTGTCCAAATTAAGCTGATAATGATAACTGAGTTCTACAAATAGAGAACAAATAAGTATCGTGTTATGTATCGAGACAATTTAAGAAATCAACTCTCTTAATTGCAAACTCACTAGGCACAGAATCCACAAACGGATAGAAAAGGCTACGATCAGATTTATAAGAACGGCACCATTGAATAAAATGTTACTCCATAATGACATATAACTGCTCATCCAAAACACATTGATTGCCCTGTAAGTTACAATCGATTTATTATTAGGAATGTTATTACTATCTAAATTTATATGTTTTAATCAATAGACATACCTCTAGCTTTTTTGCCATTTCATCTCATTAAACATTTCTTCTGTCCTTTCGAAGAAATCGGAAACTTTCGACCCTTGATCATCTCGTTCCGTAGTGTCAGTACTCTTATTTTTGTATCGACAGTTATAAGTTCGCAGATCTCCGAATCGGAAGACAATTTGTTCGAGTGTTCTATCGTGTCTCACAATCTAAAACGTAAAAATATTTTATTGATCTTTCTCTCTCTTTCTCTTTAAAAATTAAAACTATTTTAATTTATATATACAAAACTATAGTACCTCTATTTGAGCTGTATGAGATGCATAGTATTGTAACGCTTTATTAATTTTGGATCCGCATTATTCTGCTCCGATGGTTTCAGTATCACTGCCAGTTCTTTATTGTGCTGCGCTAATTGATGGCACAAGATGTAAATATTATGTCCAACCTGAAAAAAAATAAAGTAGATGATCTTTTTAAATTTACTAAAATCGCAAAAAAATCAATAAAATATCTGCGTTACACATTTCCTCACCTCTTTGGGCGATACTCCTTCCTCTCCGTTTGTCGAGGTGTCGTCGACGTCGCCGGTGTCATCCAGCGATTCCTGATGGAAAGCCTTGCACGCCACATCAACGAGCTGTTTCGGATTCATATTGTACATGATCCTCTCGGCGTTTTCGCTGTCACCTCTGCTCTCCATAATCGCCAGCAGTAATTTACTTGCATTATTCTTTAATTCCAATACCAGATCCATCTGGTCTTTTCCAAAGGATTGATATCGTTCAGTATCAATGCCGTTATAATATCTAAACCGTTGGACTCATGCGTGGCGATGCAGTTTTGATTATCGTGACACGGTCCTTGACAGTATTCCGTCAATGTTTCCAAAGTTTGATTGATCAGCGCTACATTGTACTCGTTGATGTACAAGCCAAGGAGACCCAATCCACCGGTGGTAGAACCGCAAATG